TCATCAACTAACCCTTAATCGGTAGCTTGTCATGATTGATGAGAGTTTACATAGTATTGTTAGTAGCCGGATATGATATGGAGTCACACCCTTATGATGATTGTACAATGTGGAGACTATTAGTGGATGGTAGTTAACTTTTAATAATAAGTTTGTCTCGATAAATGAGGTTTGTATTTATACTGTTTATGATAGTTGACATACACGAGGGTCGCTTCCTCTTTTATGATAACATTATGAAGCATATTGAGGAGACACCTACTAATTTCTAATAAGAATTTGTCTAGATTAGTAGGGTTCATGTTATATGTGAGCTATGAGTTGTAGCCATGATGACATCAAGCCTTGAGTGTCAATGATCTATAGGTTAAATACGATTATAGGGACTAATAAAAAGCTAACTAGATAGATGACCTTGAGATAGATGAGTTTAAGGAGCCGAATATTGAGAACTAATAAGTCGAAAAGAGTTCAAATAGGGCTAAAGGATGATAGGGCTAAAATCAATTTGCAACTCTCGAGCTAGTTAAGATACTAATATTCTTATGTATTCTCGATAACTTGCAAATCTTTGACGAAGAATAATTTTTTTTAATATAGTCTTAGTTCTCTCGATCTTAGAAATATTTTAATTGTGCATTTAAGTTCGATTATAAATCAGATCTGTCAAGCTTAAAATTCAAATACATCATTCTTAATCATTGTACCGGACAAGGCAAGAATCGTAGAAATTTCTTATTTATTTTTACAGGAGACTTAGATTTGGGATCATTTTTCTCCCATAAATTTTCTCCATTTTTATATTTATTTTTTAAAAATATTATTATCTAAGATCCTTTTATGAATAATTTCCATTTTTAATATAATTTCGGTAGGAAAACAATAAAACATTCAAATAATTCAATCATATTTCATAAACAAAAATACAGTTTTAAAAAACCATCTTTAAAAAAAAACTCAAATTGCAATATTATAACGCAGAAAGAAATATATATTTATATACACACTCATATATACAAAAAGTAAGCGGATCGAGGTAGGACAGAGTAGAGATTTGGTAGGATTAGGGGCGGGGGCAAGGGCGGAGATATTATCTCTGTTCTCGTAGAAAAAATCAATCTCTATTCCTTCTCTCATTCTTCATTTAAACTCGTCCTAAAATGATTATCTGTGTGAACTATCGATGGTCTGTCCAACAATCTTCCTCTTCAACACACACAATCCTAACTTTTTATGTTAAAAAAATACAAGAGTGTCGTGACACTATAAGGTAGCGTTGTGGTGTACTTTAAAAAATTTGAAAAATGAAAAATATTTGTAGTTCTAGTAGCATTTAGTACTGCAGTGCTATTCTCTTAGAGCCGTTTGGTTGAAGGTTTTGTTTATGATACCTAATAAAATAATATCTAATGATAAAATATATACCAAAAAATATTTTCAAACCTTCTATTATATTTTTTAATTTTAAATAATTAAGTGTTGTTAAAATAAATTTTAGTAAATATTAATAATCATATATTTTTTTTTTGAATTCTATTTAATTTTCATTAACGAGTATATTATAAATAATGTATTTAAGAGTAGTTAATATTAATAATTATCAAATAAAAAAATTAAAAAAGAGAAATGTAATAAAAATATTTTTAACCTCCACTCACTAGTAAAGCTCGTGAGTAATTTTTTTTTCTTCCAAAAAATGAAAGGGGAAATAATAATTAAAAAAAAAATAGAGATATTTTCTTTTATTTGCATAATCCACGTGGGTGGGACCAAATGGGAGTGGGTCCCAGGAAAAAGACATAAGATTGAGAAAATGTAAAAATGTCGGGTAGCATAAGCACGTGAAGTGGAGGGCCTCACCACATCCTCTTCACGTGAACTTCCTTACTCCTATTGGTCCACTTCACACCCCATGACAGCAACTCTCCTATCTCATTTTATCTACCAACTATATTATTTATTTATATTTATATTTATATTTATATTTATATTGCACTTTCAACCATATAATTAATATCTCTCAATTCCATTATCCTAAGTTTGGATTAACATTATGGAAACAAAACAAAATAGAGGGACCTAATCGACGAACGACTGTTATGACGGTTGAAATGAAAAAATAGATTTATAGATATTTTTTAAAGTTTAGAGACCCAATAGCTACAAACCCTAAATTAAGTTCTAATAAAAGAAGATTTGCATAGAATTCCAGGTTTAGAGGTGTTCTTCAATGTAGGACTATATAGATGTAACTATTCAAAGATTGATATTTAATCTATATCATCACTTACGTGTAACAGCCCAAGTCCATCGGTAGCAGATATTGTTCTTTTAGTGTTTTCCCTCTAGAGGTCACTCCTATGATGGTTTCTAATGATATATCCCTAGATCATGAGTTGCATGGGTTTATATTCCCCGACTCTAATAGTGAAATCACTTACTGAGTATTTCTCAAAATACTCAAGTCATGTGTTACTTCCTTTTCATGTAAAGGCAAAACATTATTGTGCAGCTGACAACGACATCACAGTTCGAGACTATGATGTATACATAGGGTAATTGTATTTATTTTCTTAGACTTAAAACTTAAGTTAGAATAGATATATTTTTTTTTAATTTTAACATTATTTATTTTATATAGTTTTTTGTTTTTTCATTTAAAAGATGTTTTTGAATAGTAAAATCCATAACCGTGTTTTAGGATGAAGTTTATGTTTATGATGCAATTTTTAATGTTTAACTCCGCATATGAGTATAGATGATGATGACGACAGTAGTAACTCTAGATAAGTGAAAATTTAAGGTCGTTATATTACGAGTATAAATTTAATAAACTAAGCCAATAAGTCGAAATTGACCAAACCATATGGTTTAATAATCTAAGGAAGTCAACACCAACCTACCTTTAGGCTCAAATAATCGTTCATAGGTCAGTCAACACCAACCTACCTTTTGATCCAAACTATCGATATCGATCAAGTCAATTCGATGTTGGTTTGGAGTCAAACTGATGTCGACCGATCGATGATCACCTTTGCTATTTGCATCGATGTTCTTAAACCTCTTCTCTAGAGATATGAAGCAAGGAGGGCCTTGAGTACATATCCTAAACGTACGAAGGGTCTGATGGCCATGCATTTAAGACACGCTTTAGGGTTGCATGAAGGACATAGAGGATGGGGTGTACTTTTAGTGTGTATAATGGCCATGCATTTGAGAGCTAGGGTGCAATGCTAAAATTTAAGTGTAGGTTACATGTTGGGCACTCTACAAATTTCAACCCATTCTCATTAGTTAGCTAACAACTTTCTTGTACAACATTAATTTCTATGCGTTTTTAATGCTTAAATTTCATCTCTAACAAAGTTCTAGGTCAAATAATAATATATTGTTCTTACTCGAGTAATAGTTATGGGATAGAGGTTGTGAAACTGGAATAAAAGAGAAGTATATGAATGAATGAATCAAGATCACATCTGACTAATAGTGATCATCAAAAGGATATGAATTATAGATGAAAAAGTCTAAAAAAAATTGATAGTTACTACCTATATTAACAAGATACACATTCCTTTTCAATAACTCAATTGTGACAACTTCAAGTTAAGCAATGGCTTGAAACGATTCTATATTAGGTGACTTGTTAAATTCCTTTTTACAAAGCTGGGAAGTAAGAACGGAGAAGCAGTTCATGTAATGGCAGTTATTTTATAAAATAATCGAATCTTGTGATTTTTGGTAAGGGCCTGACCTATAATGACTGCATAGTATCACAATCATGTTTGTTCAAGGCATGTTGCCTATGGCTACATGACAGATGTCCCGGTCTTACTTATCCAGGATGTTGTCCATTGTTGCATGCCCGTTCCAAAACCCCTTTTACATGCTTTCATCCTAAATAGGCTTTTACCATTTCACGTTGGGTGAATACGGGAGTGTATGACCGTTCACCAAAGTCATGTCTACACCCGCCAGGGATAAATTCCCCAAAATGTACTATAGAGGGATATAATTAATTATCACTTCTTCCTACTCTGAGTTATATGTTATTTAAGGCATGATATTTCTTAATTTTCTTATAGTCATATAACGTTATTTTCTTCAATTCTTCAAATTGTTTTCAAATGTATTTCCCAGTGCATGTTTTATAAACCTTTTCTCGCAACGTGACTCGAGGCCCGAACATACGTCGACATTGTCCGCGACATCCAAGTTTCTTATAGCTGACTTGTTCGCTTGGTTAGAACAAGTGTCGCACAATCATTATCTCGCTATTACAAGAGTGCATTGTGACACATAGCACACAGTAGGGAACCATGCAACCCCTCAACATGAGGAGAACCCCTTAGTGACATTTCTAATATAGGTAAAAAAAATTAGAAATGTTACACTTCAAGCTAAATAAGTAACGTTGTCATATTGCAGGGAATGTAAAAGAATGTTGTGGTTGTCAAATATCGAACTTCAAATTTAAAATTTTTGTCCAAATTTTGAACGTCCGAGATGATTGTCGAGATTTTTGATGAGCAAGATTTTTTGTGCCCAAAAAGTAATGAAAGCTATTTGATTTCGGAGAAATAAGTGGCTCACGAGTTCTCGAAAGAAATATATCCTATTTGATTTCGAATTCCTCATATAGCACTTCTTATCCTGGTTGCATAAATTGGCAAGAATGGATCTTTTTGGGAAAAATTGATTTGTGATACCTTAGTAAATGAGAAGTATATAAATGAACCGATATCACATCTGAATAAAAGCAATCCGAAGAATAGAACTAAGAAAGATTTAAAATAATTTAAAGTTACTACCAATAACAATAATGTGCACATTTTTTCGGTAACTCAATTATAGAGACTATATAATTGGTATATCAATTAATCTTCTTATTGTATATATTGATTAAACTTCTTAATCGATATATAGATCATCGAGCTCGTAAAACTAAAAATATATTTGAATATCAAGACGTGACTCATGATTAAACCAACGAGAGGTATAAATAAAAACATAATTTGAAATAACAAAATAATACAAGATTTCACAAAAAAATTTAAATTTAAATACAATCATAAATAATCCTCAAGAAGAGTATCTATTGGAATTTCATATCCAAAAATCATGGAATAATCATCCAGTTCATTATCATCATCAGAGCTCAACTTTGGCATGCTCAAGCTCTTTGCTATCTCTGAATCATGGCCTTTTGTTAGCACCTCCAACACCTACGTCAAAATTATTCAACTGATTAAGATATATGTCATTAGTCAAACGATCAACAACTCGACACTCCTACGCTCTAATAATTATCCAATTCATAATTCTACTAGAAAACATCCAACATTGTTGGAGCATACCTCGCTCATCGATGGGCGCTCGACTGACGACTGTCGAACGCAGCAAGAAGCAGCCAACACGACTCGCTGCAACTCTTTTGCGTCGTAGCATTTGAGCTTTGGATCAGCCAGCTGACCGATCTCGCCCGACTCCATCAGAGGCTTTGCCTGTTCAAGTCCAAATTAAACCACAATCTCCTTTGTTCTGTTTTATAAATAGTGAAGATGAAGATGAAGATGGGGATTGTTATTACCCACAAGAGAAGGCTCTGTTTGGATGAGTCCACAGGCCTTCTGCCAGTGACAATCTCCAAAAGAAGAACTCCAAAGGCAAAAACGTCAGTTTTCTCATCCACAAAGCCATGCATGAAATATTCTGGCGCTAAGTACCCAAATGTGCCCTCTATTGGTACCACTGCATGGTGTGTCCACTTGTTTGGAAGCCATTTTGCTAGCCCAAAGTCTGTTATCTGCCTCATTAACCAACAAAATACATATCAATAATGAGTTTACTAACAACAAATGAGTTTGTGCATCAAAATTCATGCATGTTTACCTGAGGTTCATAATCAGGGCCAAGAAGGACATTAGAAGCTTTGATGTCTCTGTGGATTATGCGATGTTTGCAACATTCATGGAGATAATGCAAACCCCTTGCAACTCCCACAGCAATCTTGTATCTCACTGACCATTCCAATGTTTTGCTTGTTTTCCCTGTCAATTTTATATATAAATTCTTTTTGATGTTATATTCCAACATTTAGTGACATAGGAAGATTTAATGTCTCGGTTTGGGCGTTTGTTTCTAAAGTATTTGTTCGTGTGAGATCCCATATCGGTTGGGCAGGAGAACGAAACATTCTTACTAAGGGTGTGGAAACCTCTCCTTAGCAGACGTGTTTTAAAAACTTTGAAGAGAAGCAAGAAGCCCGGAAGAAAAAGTTTAAAGAGGACAATATGTGCTAACGGTGGGCTTGGGCTCTTTACAAATAGTATTAGAGCTAGACACCAGGCGATGTGCCAGCGAGGAGGTTGAGCCTCGAAGGGGAGTGGACAAGAGGCAGTGTGCCAACAAGGATGTTGGGCCCCGAAAGAGGGTGGATTGGGGGTCTCATGTCGATTGGAGAAGGGAATGAGTGCTAGCGAGAACGTTAGCCTCCAAAGAGAAGTGGATTGTGAGATCCCACATTGATTGGTGAGGAGAACGAAACACTCTTTATAAGGGTGTGAAAACCTTTCTCTAGTAGACTCATCTTAAAAATATTGAGGGGAAGCCTGAAAGGGAAAGTCTAAAGAGGACAATATCTGCTAGCGGTGGGCTTAGACTGTTACAAATGGTATCAGAGCCAGACACCGAGTGAGGTGCCAGCGAGGAGGTTGAGCCCCAAATGGGGGTGGACACGAGACAGTGTGTCAACAAGGACGTTGACCCTGAAGACGGGTAGATAAGGAGGTCTCTATATCAATTAGAGAAGGGAATGAGTACCAACGAGAACGCTAGATCTCGAAGGGGGGTGGATTATGAGATCCCACGTTACGAAAAGAAAACATTATTTATAAGGATATGGAAACCTCTTCCTAGCAGACTCATTTTAAAAACGTTAAAGAAAAGTTCGAAAGGAAATGCCCAAGCATACAATATGTCTGCTAATGGTGGGGTTGGACTGCCCTATAATCCGCCCGTCTTTTATGTTAACCCATTGCATTCGATCATTTTTTCTAAATGAAAACCTATTCGCTTTTTGACCAAATCAATCTAACATGCATCAAAATTTAACAATTTGTTTAATATAACAAGACAACTGCTCAGATTTAAACATCTGACTAGTAAAGAGTGCATATCGATTAGTAAGTAAAGGTTAATTACCATGTAATGCAGAAGAAAGGTTTCCATTTTGAGAGAAGTTGAAGATGAGATAAAGGCCATTTTCAATGCAACAGCCAACCAAGGAAGCTGTGTTTGGATGAAAGACATGCCCAATTATTCCAAGTTCCATAAGAAACTCTCTCTCTTTGTTACCATCTTTGTTGTCCTTTGTCAGTCTCTTCACCGCAATCATCTTCCCATCAGATAGCTCTCCTTTGTAAACTTCCGAATACCCACCTCGCCCCACCATGTTCTCTGAGATATCAAACCCAAACCAAACCAAATCAATCAAAACAAAATTTCATAAAAAAAAAAAAAAAAAAAAAAAAAAAAAAAAAAAAAAAAAAAAAAAAAAAAAAAAAAAAAAAAAAAAAAAA